ACCAGTTGAGTTTGTTGGGGAAACGAATCACTACTTCTTTGGTAAATGATCTGGTGAGTTTGATGTGCATGTTTACACCATTCCATACTAATTTCTTCAATTTCTTCCTTTTCTTTCTTCCTTCGTGGCATGAAACCGAGCATTTTTTTCTGATATTTATTTCCTTCCCTAGATTGGTGTGGTTTCAGATGAGAAGCTACTGGAACTTTTGGAGCTAGCAATGTCATCAGATACTGCAGAAACAGTAAAAAGAGCCCGGGAATTGTTGGATTCAGGTGTTGATCCAATAGTTTTGATGTCTCAATTGGCCACTCTCATCATGGATATAATTGCAGGAACTCATCCAGTAGTTGATGCCAGGCAAACTGATACCTCTGGCTCGAAGAGTTGTAAGTAGCAAATGTTCACCCTTAGAATCTTTGTCCTTTTTGTTTGATCTTTTGTTCACAAGCTTTGACTTACATTCTGCAAAAGACACTAGATTTATGCTTCCGATTGTAATTTCGGTATCTCAAAATCTATTAATAATTTGCTGATCTTAGCCGACCGTGTGAAAACTTCATTGGCTTGTCTAGTTAAGCGGTTGACAATGTGAATAGGGAAAACATTTAAAAGGTTTTGCTAAAGTATCCATTTTGTGCATTTTCTAGTTTAAAGAATCAATAGTGGTTTATTTTTCCATATTTCTTTAAATCATTCAGTATCTTGTTGAATTGATTAAGTTGAATATGCTACTCCCCTGTCTCATTCTCGGAAACAATTTAAAAGAGTATAGAGATTGATGAATTACTTTGATTTACAATGAATTGTTAGACGAAAAATACTGAAGCGATTGCTCAAATAGCCCATAAAGTTGGTTGATAGGAAAGCATTTATAGACTGACTAATTTAGAACTTGTTAAATGTGTAGAATATCATTATCTTACAAGCTTGTTTAAACCATCATAAGATATGTTCCTTTGGAACATTGACAATACAAATGTGTCACGTTTAATAGGAAGGAAGGAGTGACAATTAGAGGAATGCTTTCTAGTCTGTTCTCCTGATAAAAGCTTTTTAATATTTTGGTTATGTGCCTGTAGCCCTTCTGTTGAAACACCGAAGAATGTGGAGGAGAAAGTTTTGAATAATATACGTATAATATGTTTTCTTATATTGTCAGAAAGGATTGTCTAATTGATCCATAGCCTACAAAACACTCTGACTTTTAATATTAGTAAGCTATGTAGCTTGTGTATGTACAGACTGCGTTGGCTCGTGTTCTGTCTCTGTACCTTTCAGTTGACTGCTCTTACATTTTTTTTTTGGATGTTTTCAATATTTGTCAAACTTTAACAAGAGCAACAGTAAATAGTAACTCTCAACAAGTTCCAAGATTGAGTTCTTTAAGCCGTTCAAATTTGATTTGAGGTGTTTTTCTTATCACACGCACTTAGTGTAGCTTCGTAAGTAGTCTAATACAGTTTGTATCTGCACTTTGTACGTTGAACTATATTGTCGACAATGGTCATGGACGTATCTGCATGTTTAGCAACTTATATTCATGAAGTGATTAAGTCATTGTGCCTTAGTGATTTGATAAAATGAAGTAAATACTCAATATTTTCTCCTGCTTGTATCACCTTTCAATTATTCTCTGTCTATAATTTTTTGTTATTGTGGACTTGTTAATGGAAAACATTTAGAAGCTTTTTTAGGTTATCAGAGTTTGGCTTATGACTTTTTTTCATATACTTGCTAAAATTGCTTGGATCCACCTGTCAGTGACCGAGACAGAACTGGATAGATTGAAGCATGCACTAAAGCTTCTTTCTGAGGCAGAGAAACAACTTAGGGTTTCAAGTGAACGTTCAACTTGGTTTACAGCAACCCTTCTGCAGTTGGGTTCTTCTACTTCACTAGAACAAACTCACTCAGGAAGCAGTCAAAGGCTGAGTTCTAAGACAACCGAGGAAGACCCTTCTAGTACATCTAGAGAAGCTATATCCCTGAGGCAGAGAACTGATACTCACCATGCTCCGCGTAAATCAGCTTCTCCTTCCTCTTTTGCAAATGCCAACCGTCGAAATTCAGCAAGTAAAGAATTGGGACTCTCATCGGTGATTGGCGAGGCATTGGGTGGTCCACATAATGACATTAAGGACAGTAAAACAGCATCTAGGTGCCCCAACACAAACATATTGGATGATATCTGGATCAGATGCATTGATAAATGCCACTCCAACACTTTGAAGCAACTGCTTCATACTTGTGGAACACTACTGTCAATCTCTGAAGTTGAAGGTAATTTTCTCTTTCTGTTCCACATGCAGCTGTTTGTGTTCACAAGAACAGACTGAATTTTACGTCTTCTGGTTTCTCTTTTGATCTCACCTCTCCCAGTTAACTGTTGAATTAATAAGGAATAAACAGTAATTTGAACTGCATTTTTTTAACTTGAAGCTGAGCGAACACTGTTCAAAATTTTGTTACAGGTAGAGAACTTGATATGAGATCGGCAGTGGCACTATATTAACTTGTTTTATGCTTGTTGCACAAAATGTCATTATGATGTGTTAATCCAACTCTCTAAGTACAAGGCTATTGAAGGCAGAAAAATCTTTAAGACAAAGTTACGAGGTGATTGAAATTTATAGCTGGTATATAATCTAGCCAAAGTTGATTTTTTTGATGTTGAACTTATTAAATTGGATATGAAGACCAAGATAATAGCTTTGTCTCTAATAGGTATCTTATCATTGCTCCTTCCTAAAGAAAAGTATCTTATCACTTGAAAAAAGAAAAGAAAAGGTATTTAACATTGATAAGCTGTGTCAAAATAACTTCAGAGTGCCTCCCATTTCAAGGAATAAGAGAAAGAATTCAACTTTTTCTATTTCTGTAACTCTTAAATTGAGTAAATCTACTTATGGTTCATTACAAAAGGTGATGCAATCTACTCATTTTATCAACTTACACAATCCTGTGCATATGACTTATTAGCTGTTTGGACCTACTGTGTGCAGGTGGTTTTGTTGCGCATATTGCTTTTCGTGATAGCAAGGTTAAAATGAGAGCTGAAAGGTTTCTGAGCAGTATCACAAATTCGTTTGAAAATATTTTACGGAGCAATGTAGAGGTTAGACTTGTTCTGCTACCAGATGGGGAGACGTCTGATGACAGTGGAAAGCCTGTTACATTGACCGATCCTGTAGGTCTGAAACAGATGGGGCCGCCAAACATGGTGAAGAAGGAAACGGCAGTTTGCTCGAATCAGGAACCTCTACAGGTATCAAGAGGAAGCTTTAATGATTCTGAAAGCAAGATGGCTGAAACTTTTGAGTCAGCAAGTGGAAATGCTGAAACGAGTAGTTCTAAAGGTAGAATCTCAGAAATTCCAGTGCAGAGAATAGAATCCATCATACGTGAGCAGAGGTTAGAAACAGCATGGTTACAAGCAATGGAGAAAGGAACTCCTGGATCAATGAGTCGCCTAAAACCTGAGAGGAACCAAGTCCTGCCACAAGATGGTGCTTATCATAACAATCAACTAGAATCAATTAATTCGAGGGACCTGCCCTCCCAGCATTGGCATGATGATCTAAATGAGGAAATAAGAAATCTGAAGATGATTGACGGAAAGGCCATTCAGAAGGATCAGACCAGTAAAAAGGGCGATAATTATCCCATTTCACCAAGTTTGCTGCATAATGGCATCTATGCCGGCAATTTCAGCAAAGAGAGCATGTAAGTTCTAGGGCTTTTCATCTCAGTATAAACTTTGTTGACAAATTTCACTACTTGCATAATGTCATTAATTTCTCCTGATGCAATTATAGCTTTTGTGGCTTGCTTTAGATATGTTGTTAAATTGTTCAAATTCTACTCTTTTTTCAATTGTTTTTTATAGAAAGAATCAATAATGTTAGCTAACCTGATAGTCTTTTCAGTTCCTTCACACTGCTTGTAAAGTTATGTTGATAGTATTTGCCTTTTATAGAGATATAAAATAAGAGGGTCTCAATGTGGACTGTCAGCAGGTGCTTTTTGCCTCTAACTCTCATTGTGGCATGTTTACAGGGGATATGAATCAGGATCTGGTGCTGGAGGTTGTTTCTGTTGGAACAACACCAGACCCCATAGAAGGGGGAAGGTATGCTTTTTTTTTGGATGGTATAACTAATTTTTTCCCTTCTCCAGACTCCGCACACAGCAGGAGTTTAATGCACTGGACTGTACTTTTTTATGCAACAACATACCAAGTGTAGTCCTACAATTGGGGTCTGGGAAGGACTGTACTTTTTTATAACTAACTTTTTTTCCTATGATCCGTCAACTAGAAGCATACTTGACGTTTTGCAAATTAACAGGTTAAACAAGGGACCCCTGTGCGTCCACCTAAAGGTGGGCGGTTCTTATGGTTTGGGGAGTGTGCAAAATCAAGGAGAACAGAGAGTAGATTGAGAAGATAATAGTGAAGCTCCCAGATCCAAGAATGCTCATTTGTTTTTAGTTGGTCTTTCTGTATTTATTCCATCTGCTGGGGCCATTCTATTCTTTCATGGATTTCAAGCTCACTAAAGGATTATGTAAAGTTATTGCTCTGGACTTCTGAAATTCCCTCTAGTCCAGCCAGTTCTGTGAAATCAATAAAAGGTCGAATAGAGAACATTTCTCTCTTGCCATTGACTACTTTTTTACTGCCTCTGGAGTCTTGAATTATGCAGACAAATACTTTCAGGACCAAAAAGAAAAAGTGGTAAAAGAAATGGTGGGATGTCAGTTTATAAAATGGAACCCACTTTTAGCAGGATCTTGAAACCATCCTTATAAACCGAAACAATATCTGTTTAACTTAAGGTTCAAGTTGCAGGAAATATCTTGTATTTGCAGTATGCAACCTACACTAAGAGTAGGTGGACTAGTTTTGTAAGGATTATAATACATAAGTTATTACGCTCTGAACAACTTGAACATAGATTTTTATGGGGTGAATAACAATACAAATACTGTTTCCAGGGTGACTTTCTAACAAGTAAATTTTCAATATTTGCACAGCTTTGCCAAGTTGCTGAAATCTGGGAGAGAAAGATACTTTCTTTTCCCATGAAGTTCAGTAGACTCGTTAAGTTAAACAGTGAAAGGCTAACTTCATCAATATGATAGGAGATTACAAATTTCCAGGGAAATATAGTGTTTGCAAAAAAGAAGAAAAACTAACAAAACTAAGAACTCTAAGATTCTTCACTGTTCAATATTCTTTCCGCAAGTAGCAAATCGTCGGGTGTTGTAACCTGCAAATCATAGGCATACATTTCACAACCACAAGAAGCTCAAGTGCAGTAGCAGGAAAATATGAAAACAATAAGACAATGAGGTTAAACTGGCTACCTTTATGTTAGTGTAAGAGCCTTCAGTAATGTATACAGGATGTTTGAGGTGCTCCACTATTGATACATCATCTGTTACTTCAAGTCCTTCCCTAAAAGACCACATGAAACACAAAGTAATAAAATAAGAAGGGCTACATATGGACCAGCTAAGCTCCCTTTAGTTGTGTTTATGATAAATATTATTATGACCTCATCAAAAAATGAGTAATGTGAAACTATTAGTTTTTCCTCCCAAATTAACATATCTGAGGGAGAGGGGGGGACATATCCGTATATCATTCAAATTAGAAAGCTTTCTTTCAGATAAAAATGTAGTACTATTTACTTTAAAGAAAATGTCGTGTCCCAGCCAAAAAGAAAATGTAGTACTATCTTTTAATCAAGTAATGTCACAACATTTCTGTTTCTTTGCAAAGCAGAAGGATTTTGAGGACATAATAAGCAAATAGGTAATGGTGCTGTGAAGAAATGACGTTCACTTAGAGAAACGTGTATCAAAGGCCCTAACCAAGATGTGTACGTCTTGAAATCAAATTTGTTTCTAACCACAGACCTAGGCTTACCATCTCTAACCTAGAAAAAAGAGGTGTAATATCATGCCCCCTTAGTATAAATATGTTTCAAACTGCTTGTCATTCTCAAGCTTTTTGAAAATATAAATTATGCTTCTCTGTGTAATCATGGTGAAGAAATTTGGACATCATCCTATACCATTTGATTTCATTAATAACTCTAATACAGTGGGAAGCACGAGCTTGTTGAATATTGAATGTCAAAAATGTTTCAAACTTATTACCTGTTAACAAGCTCGAAACCCTGCTTAAGCAACTCAGGCTTGATTACCTGTGCCAGACAAATTTGTTGAACGGTCTCTGCAGGTGAAGAAGAAATTCTAAAACAAAAAGGTTTACTACCTGAGGTGTCTGCATTTCCCAAAGAGTTTTCCTGTCAAGAGTTTTCACAACGAAAGACTCACTGTTCGCCTGCACCAGAAATGACAACAAAATCCATCAAAACGAAGTTCAATCGAGATAATATAAAGAGGAAGACCTTATGTGCAATGTCAATGCACTCAGAATAGATGCTTTATCAACATTCCTGTCAGCAGTTTTACGTTGATGCCAGTCAATTCAATTACGATGAGGAGTTACATTTAAATTTCCTAGCAGATGCCAAATTTAAGTTCATCTGACTGTCGTATATAAAGCATAGATAATGAGGGTCCTGGTCTTATAGGACGTAGTCTTACTTTTCATATCATATAACTGAATAAACACACACTTGATCTCTCCCCAAAAGTTTAGTAGAACTGTTACACCGAAGTTAAGTTTTGTTAACAAGAGAAATTAAGGGAGAAATAATATTATACGGCAACTTCAGCACAGCCTAAAATACTTCTTATTAAACAAATACCAAACAGAAATAACCATACGGTGATAATAGTGATAACACATACTAGTCAATAATAAATGAAAAAGATTATGACCAAATTGAGACTTAGCACCATGCTACAATTTAGAAGCACTTGAAACATTTAAGGAGATTATGCAAATTAATATAGATGAAAAGGAACACAGGTGTGTCATCCTAATAGTTCCACAGCAAAAGGATAGAGCAATTAGCCTCTAACTGGCAGCTATCAGCTTATCTGCTAACAGAGAAAGCTACATAAAACTCAGAACATGCTTCAATTTTCTACCATTTCGTTCTCTCACACGGTTGGCCACCTGCAGCTTCATATTTCAATTTAAATCAGATATAGTAAGGATGCTGATAATAATTAAGAGGTACCTCTTTGATTGTTGCTTTAGCAGGAACGCCAAGAACTGCTGCTCCAACCAGCCAACCATCCTTCAGGACCTGCGAAGAAGATTCATTGGAATACGTAAAGGAAGATTAGTCCTTCAGAATCTTACACATACATATGACCTATAAAAAATTCAACAATCAGCAAATTATATGATGAAGGATTAAGGATAAAGAAGATGGACATCTGCAGAATTCATGCTATTCGACAGGAGTACTTCCCACAAGAAAGCTCTTGCCAAAGACAAAAGAAAATATAAAGGAAGAGGAGGAGCTTCTGTAGTGATCAAACCTTTTCTACATCTTCAGTCCATACTAGAGGTCTTGCAGAGTCATGGATGCATACAAGTTTGGAGTTTGAATCAACTTCCTGACATGCAAAACATCATCACCTTCTAAAAATCACAATCAGTACTCAGAAATATCATGGCAATAACATTGTCTTACAGCATAGCATACGAAAGACATAGTTTTAACAATATGTGGAACAACCGAACAAGATAATATGAAGATATTTCACAAGTTCAGCTTTAGTGAATGCAAAAGCTTTTCACCGGAAAATTAACTGAACCAACCCGACTCAAGATCAGATGTTCACAACCAAACCACCAAAGAAAGATGAAATGTAATGGAAAAGGCAACTTGAATTTAAGCTTTTGTCCACTTGTTGTTCTCTCAAAAAGCCAAACATTTCAATAGCATTTGGAATGAGATCAACAGATAACTCCTTTTCGGATTAGAAAAATGAAAAGAATCTTAAGGCTCAACACTGAGCAGCAAGGACTGATCACTTTAGAGCCTAACTCTTTTAGCACCTCAGACGAGACCAAATGAAACCGGAACTACCAGATAACTTGCTAATAACTTTTGCTACATGGACTTTTCTGTAGGAAATCAGCTATAGAAGCCAAATTACAGAACATGAGTTCAATACTCCCTCCCAAAAGTTGTTCTACTAAGTATAACCAACCATGCAAATTACAATTGAATATTTGGTTAACTACATATTCTGGAGAATAAAGGCTTAAAAGGGGCCTTGGGCAAAAGATAGAAAAATTAAGTTCTCAAACATGACCAACTTTGCTTTCGAAAGTTGGAAGTATGAGACTTAGTCCATCTGAGATAGCATATAGCACGTACCTGAAGTCCGCTGTATACAGAATCTTGTCTTTCCTTCCCAGGTAATGCAAATTTTAATTCGACTTGGATATTCTCTTTGGCATCTATAGAATAAATGAAGAATCCTTATACAATCATCTTAGTGTCTGCAAAAATTCCTATAGATATTGCAATCTGAACAAGAAAGTTATGTGCATGTTCATTGCTTTCTTGGAAAATTTTCTCTTGGCTGCACACTCACACTAGACATTTGAAGTTCATACCTTCAAAAATGTCTTGATAAGAAGGATCACATACGACAACGATTTCTTTCACCTGAGGCATCCTGGAGAAGGTGAAGAAACTGCAACATTCCAAAAAATTGTCACCCAAAGGCAAACATGTGATTGAACTGGTTGCATATATACAGAAATATTCTCTCCAAACTGTGGTTTCAATACTGTTAAATTCTCGCCACCATCTCTCTTCTTATTTACCCGTCATGACTTGCACCATTTTACACACAGGTTATGTCAAAATTCAAACCAGCTTGACTGAAGCTAAGAGGTCCTGCCTATTATTACCGATTTTGTGGTATCACTAGCTAGACCAGGCTGCTATATTTGTTACAACTTACAAGCAATACATATTCATCCATTGCCAATGTGAACTTGGACAACTTTAGGATTTCTCACCACACCATAAATTTCAGAAACCTCTAGGTTATATCTAGCACTGTGAAATTGGTTTTGGCAGGTTTATCATAATTGAATCAAGTTGACCAGTTTTGGTTTACCTGTACAATGCAATTGGTTGGCCTAAAAGTGGTAGATACTGCTTTGGCATACTTGCCTATTCCAACAAAAATATAATAAAGCATTATCCAGCAGAAGAATATTCATCACTATAGATAATGAAGATATGGGAATACAAAATGCAAAAAGCTCAAAAGAGAACAGTTTCTAGCAACATTGTACATCAACTGCAATAATCTTTTGAACTCTTAAACAACACAAGCAATGAAGATAGGAAAATTGTAACACCCACATCATTGCAAGTAATGGGAAACAACAGGATAAGTTGTTTCCCTCTTCAACTCATAAATATAAAAGAGGAGAGTAAGTACTTACACCCATTCTTTTTCCCTTCCCTCCAGCAAGAAGAATCACAGAAACACTTTTCTCCTCCACCACCACATCTGTGCTCTGCAAATTTGGGAGTGCCAATTTTCAAAATCCAATCTTTTGTCCCCCTCTTTAAACACAAAAATAGAAGCACAAACCATGAGTATATTAGTATTTAAAAAAAAAGAACAAACCTTGTTTAGGTTTGGTGAGGTGGCAGAGCAAGTGATCTTGAAAAGAGTCATTCTTGGGTCACCATGACTGTAGGTTCTGCAAGTGCAATGAGCTAAGCGGAAAGGATTCTTTAAAAAGTTGGTTTTTGGAGTGGGAAAGCCATTTCTGGGCGTCTGAGAAAGACTTGGCAAGAACATACGAGATGAAGAAGAAAGGTTGATACCCAATTGAAGAGTAGACATATTGTTGTACTTCACTCCCTCAGCTCAACCAATGAAGAGTTAAAAGGGAGTAAAATAGAGTGATCCCTTCCAATTGAACGAAGACAAAAAGTACATAAGTTGGGGATACTTACCTACCAACATTTTAGCCAAAGAATACCTTTCCTTCTCATTTCTCTTTCTCTCTCTTCTCAATCTCTTTTTTTTTTTTTTTCTCCCTCCTGTCCGCAATAAGTGTCCAATTTGGTTTTTCATTATGGTTCAAAATAAGTGTCCAATTATGTAATCAAAAAAGAATTCAATTTATTTTTACAAAATAACCCCTATGTACATATCCTAAAAAATTTTCTTACTCCTCACATTAAATGTTTTATTAGGGATAGTTTAGTCATAGTAGATATTTTTGTATAGAATTTAGTATTTTCTTACTGGGCGTGCTAAAAGCAAATTGGACACTTATTGTGAACCAGAGGAAGTAGTATATAATTAAATATTTGGAGAAATTTCTTAAATTGCATTTGAAAGATAAAATAAACTTGAGTTTTGATTTCTAAAGTTGCTTTGAAGAAAATTAAGTAAGATTCAAATTTCTAAAATTGCATTTGAAAGATCAAAGAACTTCAGATTTGATTTCTAAAGTTGCATTAAAAAGAGCTACTTGAGATTCGAATTTCTGAAATTGGATTTGAAAAATTGAAGAACTTCAGATTTGATTTCTGAAGTTGCACCGAAGATGGTACACTTTGTAAAATTTTGTACAATACAAGTATCTCCAAATGTGGGTATATACGAAAATGCCCTATTATTTTTCACATGTTTTATTTTACAGGGTTAAAATTTAAACATAACACTAAATAATCATATTTGTGCAAAGGGACCAACTATGATAATGCCACCCATATAAAGGCCCAAGCCCAAGAAACCAATCTTGGAAATCCTCAAAGGCAGTGTTCCCCTTCATTTTCAGCAATCAATTTGGGTGAAGTCAAGCAAGAGAGCAAAAGATCGGGAAATGGGGAAACCATTGGGAACAACAGGAGAGTTCTTCAGGAGAAGGGACGAGTGGAGGAAGCATCCTATGTTGACCAACCAGTTCCGCCACGCTTTCCCTGGCCTTGGCATCGCCGTCGTCGCCTTCTCCATCTACTGCGTCGGCGAATTTGCCTACAACAAGATGTCTGCCCCTTCTCACTCCACCTCTTCCGTCGCTGCTTCTCACTCTCACTGAGATGAATCTCCAATCGTCTCTTTTGGTACGATTCATTTTCTGATTTTATCATTCCCTTTATTTCCCCAACCAGCTGTTTGAAGTCTGTGTGTTTGTGAAATCTGATTCGATATGCTTAAAACAGGTGGGGTTTGTGAAGGTTTTGATTTTTATGAAATGGGTCTCTTTGATATGCTTAAAACAGGTGGGGTTTGTGAAAGTTTTGATTTTTATGAAATGGGTCTCTTTGATATGCTACTGATCGAAAAGGGGAACACAATTTCATTTTATTTTGATGAATTAGGTCTTATTGATGCAAAAATGTTCAAGTGAGTAGATACCTTCCTGGTGTAATGAATTGGGATTGTATTTTCCTATGCTAAGAAATGTCTTTGTTGGTGCTCTAGGATCTTGATTTAATTTGGTTTGGTAGTGTCCACTAATACTGTTTTCAAGTACTCTAGTTATGCCAATTGTGTTATTATTCTTTGTATCCACACTTTAAGATAAAAAGACCAGGAACACCAATCTGTTTCATTAGATACGCCAGTTTTCATTTGTCGTTTATCTCACCTCGACTACGTGAAGTTTGCTTCTTGTGCAATCAGAGTTGATATGCTCAAATGGGCAAAACTTTGTGATTTTTATGAAATGGGTCATACATATGCTCAAGCGCTTAGATATCTCCCTCCCCGTAAAGATTGAGATGTCTTTTCCTATGCGAAGTAATGCCTCTGTTAGTGTCTTTGATTTGATTGGTGTATGTGTGAAAGGTGGTGACCAATGTCCGCTATTACTTCCTTCGAGCTCTCTAGCCCAAGCCACTTGTGTTATGGTTTTTTGTTGTTCTCTAGCACAACACTTAACAATGCCTTTTCGATGATTTAGCATCGGTTATGAGTCCTCTCAAGTTTCTTGCCTTGTTTTTTGTTATATATTTTAATACAATGTCTTGAAGGAGTCTGATACATCCTTAAAGAGGCAAAAGATAAGGAAAGTGCCAATCCATATATAAAAAACAGAAACTATCCCAATTCCTGTGGGATTACACTGGGTTTGTTGTTGTTGCTAGTGGCTTTGATTAAGGCTTTAGCTTCTTTCTCAAAATCATGGCTTAGGCGTGACGATCAAAATAGCAGATACAATATATTTCTAAGGAAAAAAACAGAAAGGCTTTTCGCCTTATTAATTGTGCATATGTCGTCATGTGTTTACATCTGAGTCTTGTTAGACGGTAAGAGCACCATTTCCGAACATGTGTCACGAATGCCTGCACCTTTTGTCATACTCCTAGTTCTGCTCATTTTGTGGAATGAAATAATTGTTAGTCATGGACTACGAAATGACTTACTTGTGCTAGTTATCAACTTAAGTTATTTTGGGAACAGAACAATATGTTGCTGCCTTACTGGATACTTCAGGTTTGTGTATTCAGTTATCACTACTATGAGTCTGGCCTTGTTGGCACTTGCCACTCCCACTTGTCCAACACATTAAATTAATAAAAACAAGACGTGAGGAGCATTTATATTGTGAATTCTATATCTTATGCACCAATATGTGAGAGACAAGTGTGGGTTGTTGATCATAGGTAATAGTAGTGTGTTTGGTTAGCAACAATTCACTGCAATGACAGACCATTAAATACATCTGGTGGTGTACATGGAAGCATCACCACAAACATAGCTTTAGTGCATAGTCTGGTGCCAGCAGCCGCAATAATTCCAGCTCCAATAGCGTATATTTAAGTTGTTGCATATAAAAAGCTCGTAATTGGACTTTGGGATGAGCCGGCCGGTCTTCACTAGGTGTGCACCGGTCATCTCGTCTCTTCTGCCGGCGATGCGTTCCTAGCCTTAATTGGCCGGGTCGTGCCTGTGGTGCTGTAGCTTTGAAGAAATCAGAGTGCTCAGAGCAAGCCTATGCGCTGTATTCATTAGAAAAAAAGACGATTGATTGCAGCTTCAGCAACCACACATCCAGCTGTTTAAATATACCATTCCTCTAGAATATACAAGATAAACAAAAATTTGGACAGAAGTATTTTTCCAATCATTTGTCTTACTTGCATAACCTTGTTCTGGTACATGACAGATAAATGCGGGGCAAAGAGAGCTCAGTGCTGTCAAAGACCCCCCTGTCCTGTCCTCCTATAGCACTCCTACCAAACTGTCTACATCAAAGAGTGTGTAGCACTTCCCCTCTTGTTTTACCCACACTATTTGTTGGGGTTAATTGCACTTATTTTACGCAGTTTATATGCGCTCCTTTTGTTCTTAATTTCATGTTGTGCTCGCAAGGTGCTAAGCTTTTTTGAAAAGGATATATCTCCCTAATGATATAACCTTTTTAAGTTGAGGCTCACATTCTCAGCTCATAACAGTTTCTTATTGCATCATACTCGGTTTATGTGGTCTGCTTTACTGTTGTCAAGCCTAAGGTGTTTACTTAACTGATGATCTCCCATATTACATTAAACTCTCTAAATGCTAGTAACTCGACTTCAGTCTATTATTGTCTGTAAAGAATTCGAAAACCGAAAACCATATATATTCCTGTGTAGGTTTTTCCTCCAACAGTCCTTGTTTTCATTGTTTGACAAATTAATGATTACGATCAATGAAAGCTAATTCTGAGGAAGGGGTAATGTACGAAAAGATTTCAGTCTCAACCCAGCTCTGAACCTTAGATGCTTTAGGAGTAACGGAAATGGTGTAGGAGTTCTGAATGCGGTTGATTTGCTGGGTTACAATCTCAGTTGCTTACTGTTTTAGAACAGTTGCTACAAGGTTTCCATGAATCAAATGGCACCTAAACATTGTTTCATTCAATTCTGTTATGTATTTAGAGAAAAGGAGTACAAACAATGGCTAGTCATTTGTTTTCCTCCATTGGGGAATGGGTTTAGTGATGGCGAGTGCATGCCTTTGTCAATTATGTCAACTTTTTCATGAACTTCGGAGAGGAGGGACTAGTTCGGCTATGCAGTGAGCTTCTTTTGAGGCAGGAGACGGGAAGGGAGAGAACAACCTGGCTCTAAGCAATATCCAATTATCCACATGAATGCTTAAGACAAACAAAATTTAGCAAGATGAAATTGTTCACAAGCGTTTCTAAGTTGGAAATATTTTGTATATGTTCATACTTGTCCATGAGTATTGTTCTATTTGGTAAATTTGCAGCAGAATTGGCAAATTGAAAACTGACTACGAGTTTGTTATTGTGCAGGTGAATTGGTAGTGCAAGAACGGGGATGACAGTAAAATTCAGTCTCGTGTTTTTCTCAGTCATATCAATAAGACATTTAACAAACATGAACTTGTAGCCTCACATTATTTGAGGCTTGTTTTGTAACAAGATTAATGAGTGGTTTACTTTACCATGTGTTTACCCTCGTTTTTGTGGTTTATTTCTACAGTTCCATGTGCTATCGCCCCTTCTTCCTTAGATTTTGAACAATTGACATTCTCCATAGCATTAATTAGTTCTACATACAAAGCTTAATGCATCACAGTTTACTTGACTTTAATGATGATTCAGCTTCATATTAGTGGGCGTAGAGAGTCCAAAAGAAGCTATATTCATTTCGGAGTTTTTGAGAGATTTATTAACTCTGTGTGAAAATCCAAAAAAAGAAGAGGATTTTAAGCTCAAAAAGGTACTTTTTCTAAAACTATTAAACATTTGCATACTTTAAAAGTAAACACTACTTGATGCGCAAATTGTCAAAGGGAACATAGGTGTAACTCAAATAATTCACTTGCAAATAAAAAAATAAAGGACTATACCGTAAAAAGATCAAAATGGTAGAGTATATTACAGATTGCAAATTCGAAAAGGTGATATCCTTTGTTTTTTATCTTTGGTTTAAAAGGAAAATTACAAGATGAAAAAAAGGCAAAATACATAAAAGAGACACCTAAAGTTGGTCCCAGATGTCTATCTCACACTCTAATTTTCCAGGTGATCATATAGACACTTTATGTTTGGTTTTATTGTGTCAAGTAAACACACGTGTCTGACATGGCAACTCGAGTGAGATACAAACGCTGGGCAGCACATTAGGTTAAATTTTTCTTGGTTGTAACGGTTAAAAAATTGCAAAATTACTATTATACCCTTAATGGATTCCTTTTATATTTATCCCAATTCTCAAATTCCTAACCCTAAATCCCCATTCTTCCTCGACCCTTTTCTACTTCTATCTTCCCTATTTCTCTATTACGAAGCATTATAAAAAATGGAAGGCACCTTGTATTGTCATTGTGGTAAAAGGGCAAAATTGATGATTTCGTGGTCACAAAATAACTCAGGTCACAGGTATCTTGGATGCCAATATGGTTAAGTAAGTAATTTTTAAAGTTATTTTTTGTGCCTATTTTGTTTCTTCAAAATTTGTTGGCCAAGACTCCACTTTTTATGGACCTTTCTTACTGTTTTACATGAAGGGTGTAAGTATTTTAAGTGGATTGAAGATGAATTTCCTGAACAAGCTATGATTGTAATTTGGGGATTTTTGAAGAGGATTAAAAAACACGACGAACAAAAGGAGAAGATGAGGAGAAAGTACAGAATGTTGCTGGTCATTGTGATACTCGCTTGGATTGTTAGAGAGTTTCTTATGTAATATTTGCTATGTATGTTGAAATTTAGTTGGTTGAAAGAGCTCTTTATGTATTGGCAGTTATGTAAACCAGTAGCTCTTTTGAATGTTGTAATGTAATAAACTTAAATGAATACAAGTTGAACCAATTTTAGACTAACATTTCAGCAAATTTTTGACATGACTAATGTTGTCCCCAACCGCAGCTGCAAGACACAAATACAAAGTGAAAAAAAAAATCTACAAAGAAAAATACAATATGTAGAATGCAAATTTCATTACTCGAACCAAGGCAATAGTCATAAAATAAAATGTCAAACATACATCTGAAACATTGCTTTAATAGAAAATAAAAAAAACTGCAGTTTTAGGTTCATGAAAAACAAATTCGACAAAACACTTGAACAAACTACATAAAGTGAAATCATCTCTAATGAGCCTTTTTCTTCTTCATTTGCATCTCTTTTTGTTGTTGAAGTTGGTTTTTAGTAATAGCAGCTTTTCCCTTCCATTTCAATCCAGGTGGCTTGAATCCAAGATCAATATTGGTAAGTGACGCATTCTTTAATTGTCTTCCACTAGAGATGACTCTTTCACTTAGTGTTCCAGGCTGTAAATTTAGAGTGATATCTATTAGGCAATTTATTAATAACTTATGAAATAGATATCATATAGAAATGTGAAAGAGCTTACATTAAGAACTTGTCCTCCAGATTGTGTGTCTGTGTAAATGCCAAATCCTAGTTCTCTTGTTCTTTTTTTCCCCAATAGCAGCAAAAACAGATTTAGTAGCAGCAAGAAAAGAAGCAGTAGTAGCAAATCCAGCAGGTGCACTAACTGTTGTACTTGTTGAATTAGAACCAAACCCCCTTCCCCTTCCTCTATCAATTCACCTTCCTATACCAGTTCCCCTTCCCTTTCCTTTGCAACTCCTATTCCTAGACCTCTCCCACTGTCTCTCCCAATAAAAGTATTATTTCTAACTCTTGTAGTATCTTGACATAAAGAAGAAGGAACACTGGATTGTTGGGTACTAGGTTGTCTCATTGGCATTGCTTCAGTAGTAGTACTATATTGTTGAGTAGCAGGTTGACTGTTTGGTGTTGCTTCAATTGTTGTTATTGGTCTTTCTTGAGGCTATAAGTAATAAAATAAATGTTAGAAGATAAAGGTTAAAAAGTAAGTAGATCAATGAAAATAACAAAGGACATACCCCTGATTTGCACCCTTTTTTATTGTGTTCAACTTGGTGGCAGTTAGAATATATCATCTTGGCTACTTTCTTTGATGCTTTTCCCTATTTCTTTTTTCTTGGTTCATCTTTGTCCTTTCTCCTACATCTCTTAGGTCTACTGGGCGTTGGTTTAACTTCAAGTGGCTCAATTGGTGGGTTATTTGATTCGGGCCACATCTTCATATTGGGGATTGGTTGAATGAAGTACTTGTAAGTATTCAAGTATGTATCTTTTCTATATCAATGCTCAACATAATCTTCTGGATCTTCCCCAATATGACATAATGCACAAACTACATGGGCACAAGGGATACCCCTCAACTGCCACAGTCTGCAACTGCATGTTTTCCTAACCATGTCAACAATGAACCTATATTCCCCTTCCTCAATTTCAAATCTAGTATCAACATTTCACATCATTTCTAATCTCTGTAACACTCGTTTATTTGGATAATTTCCAAGACACCGCTCCTCCATCGTTTGTGAAAATATATCCACTTGTTGATTTAAAAACAGTTGAACCAGTGATCTAATTTGCATCACTGTATTCCTCCATTATTGCGGGATACTTATTGTGGTGCAAATCATAATTTTGAGTATGTTTCAAATATCTCAACACTCGTTTCATTGTCATGACAGTTCAATGCGAACTTCCTTATGTCGTAGACTAATACGTCTCGACTTTCTATTGCATATCAGATTATTGACTAAACCTAATGTAGCTATAGTATATTATAACAACAGCTGGAATGATTGACATCAGTTGTGGCCACAACCTTTTAATATCTAACACATTTCGCAATCACTCTGCCATTTTCAAGCATTTGTATGCTATTTATTCATACGTCTATATGATATGCAAATTATAGCACCTTCTTCATGAAAAAAATCCAAATTGCAATGGATATTGGTCATGTTAATCGGTTGGTTTACCACATTATAGACCAACGTAATAATACGTTCGTTCATGAACGATCATGTTTATACAAAATATACAAACGTACTTTTCATGAAAAGTCGCAGCCTTGCAGGTGACACCCTTTCATAAAAGAGCTAAACATTATAAATGTTCAAGAAAGAACAATTCGTTTCTAGAAAGACACGTAAAGAACTTTCGAGTTTGTGGTTTCATCACTAGTGATCACTAAGTTTAATACTTCTTAGTTCCATGCCTGAGAGATAATTATACTCTGAAAGTGACTTTAAATTTTTCATAGACCATGGTACCCCAATAGTTGGTGTTTCCAATCTTTTGAAGCATCGACTGCTTCAACTTCTTCATCACCATGAAGTTTTATTTGCAATTCTTCTTTTCTCCGTAATTGTTTCACCAAAGAAATAATATTTTGGATAAAGCTAGAATTTGAGATGAAAAATCGGGTTACTGATAATCAAGAGACCAAAAAATAATAATAGATTTTCTGAGAATAATAATAAAGCAGTAAACAAGTTTTTATTTCAGTATGATGTCAATGATGCCCTTTTCCCAATACAACTTCCTCCTTTTATAGTTAATTCTAGGTAAAGGAATGAGACCTAAGCTTTAATGAGACAATTATGGACAATAAATAACATTAAATGAGCGGTTACACAATCATTCCTATTAAATACCAATTTTCTAACGTATCAGGTATTTAATACTGAATTTGGACTCCTTTTTGTCTTCAGATCCATGTCTTCAATGCCTTTCGACCCACTGACTTTAAATGACTTGAATTGGTACGAGACTCGTGTCTAAACTGCTTCTCGTGCCTATTTCACTTCCTCTTCCCGTACCTGTCATCTCCCGTACCTTTTTCTCAATTGTTACGCTTTGACCATTTGTCCAATCCACATGTCACGCCACGTCATCTTCAATATAAATTCAACTTTTTTTCCAATACAGTAATGTAATTCCATTTTTATTTCATGAATTCCAATCTTCAAAAAATGACAAAACAGTAATTTTGATTTTAAGAAGCATTTCCAGAAGAGCGCCAAGAAATCATGACTTCAGACATAAGGGTCTCTTTTTTCTTCAGCGATCTTCCGCATCGTTATCTTCGGCAATATTCTTGAATCTCGAAGACCCATATCATGTGATCCCGTTAGGAGGAAATTCTCATAGTCAAAGAGCCGCTCTATTATGACACTCCAATCTCCAATCCGATGTAATAAAAGTTTGACATGTGACTGTTATGACCGAAAAAATCAGGTGTCATGCGAAAGCTGGCAAAACAAACCTTGAACGACGATAAATCATCTAACGAAGAGAAATATACCAAAAGAGACACAAACATAGAACGTGGTTCGGTCAACTGACCTACATTCTCGGCGGAGATGAGCAATCCACTATATAAAAGAGAGTACAAAATATCGAGAGAACAATCTCACGAAGAGGCAAACACAAGTGACACACTAACACTTGTCCCGTAAAGTTCTCCCCCTAAACACGACTCTCAAAACCCTTATGGCTACATTGTGGATGCTACTGAATGAGAAGGGAGGATCCTCAATTTATAGAAGTCCAAACATTTTCCTACAAGAAAAAGGACTAGCCAAATACGGGAGATTTCTAATTTCATTCTACAAGAAAGAAAATCCAATTATGATAAATATGTTGCCCTTCCTTCAACAGACAGGAAAACCAAATATAATAAGAAAATCAGAACAACGCGTAACAGTGATGCCTTTTTTTTTTAGATTCAATCTGCCTTCTGCCTTCGTATGGTTACCTCAGTTGAAGTGCAATTCTCCATTTCCAGCATACTCGAAGTTCGTGGCTGTTCAAGAAATATACCTATCCTTCCCTTTCTCCGGTACATCAGAAAATAAAATAAAATTCCTTAAAATTGTTGTAAACTGTGTACGATACAAGAAAATCAGAGAAGAACAGAGATGTTAGTGAATAAATAATTTTCGAGCCCACAAGTTGTTTGCATGTCCTCAAGGAATTTAATCCCCTCACTGTTGCCCAACGTTATGGATTACTTCCTCCCAGGATAGAACGGAAAAACTATTCTGTAATACTGACAATCGAAATTACAGAATTTCAGCGAACTCAACAAACGGAACAAATCACACTTGACACTTAGTTTATTTGAAAAAATAATGCAACAATGTAGAAAAGATGGGAAAAGTTTTCAGACTTTTCATGTCTGAAAATTAAGGCTAAACCTCTAAATTTATAGAGAATGAAAGGGGTTGAGAAGAGGTGCAATCCAATGTATTTTGCCAACCAAAAAAGTATTGATGTATGCCTTGTGACGTATGCTTTGTTGTACAAAGGGCGTTCTAACGAATATTTTACAAGGGGAAAAGGAAGCTGGAAAGAAATTTAACAGAACTGTATAATAAAACTACCGACCAAATTTGGGACACGCAATTGCCTTAACAAACAACAGTATAATACCTTCCCCGCCCCCACACCAAAACCTCGCCATTTTCTCTTCACACGGCATTTCCATTGACTTCAACTCAAAACTCTCGAAACTTTACTCCTCTATGAATTTTCCTTTCGCTCTCTAGTTTTCATTCTTACTAGCACACACACACAAATCATCAAAATCTCAATTGGGTCATCATCCTCTTTGACGCTGCACAGCTTATCACTTTCATAAAATCTCTCTGTTGGTGGGGCATCATTTTCTTGGACCAATTTCAATGGTAACTCTACAAACCCCACAATCCACACAAACCCGTTACTCTTTCCATGTTTTCTTGAGCTTCAGAGGTGAAGATACTCGAAAAAACTTCACTGATCATCTCTACACAGCTCTCATCAACGCGGGAATACGAACTTTTCGAGACGATGATGAAATCCGCAGAGGAGAAAACATAGAATCTGAACTCCAAAAGGGTATTCGAGAATCCAAGATTTCCCTAATTGTTTTATCCAAAGACTACGCTTCTTCAAGATGGTGTCTTGATGAGCTAGTCAACATTGTTGATCGGAGGAAGAAAGAGGGTCATACTGTTTTGCCTGTGTTTTATACTGTGAGCCCTGAGGATGTTGAGAACCAAACTGGGAGTTTTGCTGAAGCTTTTGTGAACCATGAAAAGAGAGGAAATGCGGAGACTGGAGAAAAAAGAAAGGTGTGGATGGAGAAGATGGAGAAGTGGAGATTAGCTTTGAAAGAAGTTGCTAAATTGGAAGGAATGTGCTTAGCTAAAGAAGTTGACGGGTGAGTGTTTTCTAAATCATCTGATGTTTCGGTTATTTCTTGTTCTTCATCGTTTCTAATTGACATTTCCTCAACTTGGCTTTAGATTAGTCTTGAGAGACCTCTGATTTTTGGGTAAGAAATTGCTACGTTTGCTGTGTAAAATTAACTTGGCTGATGATGTTTGTAAAGAACTATAGATAATAGTTTGGAACTATGTTTTGCTCGGTAGTCTACTGATTGATTTCATTTACTTAAATTTGAGTTTTTGTGAGGATTAAAGGTATGCAACTTAGCCTCCATGTGATTTGAACTGCCAACCTACCGGTTGGAGGTGGCGGTGAAGGTGCTCTGTTGCCTAAGCAGACCTCATCTCAATTTGAAAGTTTTGAAACCTTGTCTTATGTTTTTGGTCTGTGAAAATGACTATGACAATAGTGCCAGACTGCCAGTTTGATCATTCATGAGTAAAGAAATATATTGTAAACGTTGTTTTCTTAGAACAAATAGTAAAAATCATACTATATATTAATGTGCTTGCAGAGTTGAACTGACTAATGTGCCCTGCAAAATGATCTATTAGAAAAGGCTATTTCAGGAAAAGATACTCTAGAAATGCTAAATGGGCAAAATTTATTTTGAGGAAACTTCCACCATGGACATGAACGGTTAACTGTGAGCAGTCCAAAGTGGAAAAGATTTCCAGTTTAAATAGTACATTTGAGCTCTAAGCAAATTTGAGTCAATAGGTGTAACCAAGTTGGCATAAATTCTAATGTGATGAACTAATCAATTAGAGAGACAAAATTCAAAGCTAAAGACGATAAAAGCTACCTCAGGTTAGATTCTACTCAAGTGTGTAAATTGAAAACTCATGTGTGAGTACTCTAAATGGTTAATGTTGACCCTCATGGGATATTCCCTAAAAGATACTGATTCCTAGCTTTCATATATACCTTTTCCTTTTCTGAGGATTCATTACTGGTCATCCACTCCAGAGACAGAGTAGGGTTGTTTCAGGGCTTCTTTTGTGCTATATAGTGTCTCTCATTACAGAAGTCTCGTTACCGATGCTTTTTTATTGTTACAAACTCAAACCACTGAAAATAGAGGATCTTTCCCTATTAGATTTCTGTTGATTCTAAAAGGAGTCCCTCATAGACATCATAGGACTGGTACTTTTTGTCCAGTAGTATGGCCTCTTCTCCATATATGTGCTTCCGTTTATATTGGGATATGGTGGCACCCAAATTGAGTTGCAGGGATGTGTCTGTGTCTTCTTTTCCCGTCCTTCCTTCTCCTGCTTATCATATGTCAGAAGTTAGTAAGACCTCTCTCTGCTTAGTTGAAGTAAAGGACTTGGGCACCTAGGAACTCTTGGATATAAGACATTGATCCAAGGAAGCAATAGTTTTTGTTGCTTCCAGCATAATCTTCTTTCATGTCTGTGAATGATCATGACTTGTATGACTTCACGTCACTTTGTGTCTCAACAAATAATTTTCTTGTACCGTGTTTAGCTTCCCCAACCAAGAATCTTTTTCTTTGACTCGTTTTCCATATATCTTATAACTTATCAGTGTCAAAATAATCTGTTTAAAGAAAATGAGGAATACAAAAGGAGACAAAATTCTCTGATAAACGAATTAGAATATACAAAAGAAAGAATACTTGTCTGAATGGTCATGATACGCTCCATTCAGTGTGGATGCACTTAATTGGAAATATATGTATGATACACCCCATTAAGTAATGTTGAGGCTAAATATGTCCTTGTTTTGATCGTGCTCCCAACTGGACATGTTAATATTTTTTGGTCTCTGTATCTTGTGCTACTGCTCTTTTCATTTCATTGGCCATTTCCCTAATTGTTGCTCCACATATTCTCCACCTTCTTCGCAGAACACATGTAGAATTTAATGTCGCTCTTTCTTTCTCCTGTAGCACTCATAAACCACATATATTGTCATCTTTGTTCTTTCTTCGAGAAAGGTGAAAGTTTTATTGAATTAGCACCATGAAATTGCTGTGAAGGTATGTACATCTAGAAGCAAAAAGCAAAAACCCAAAATTTTCATATTTTCATCTTTGTTCTTAATTGTGTCGAGGAACTAGCCAGGTTATTCAGAGTACTGATGCTTGATATGACTGATCATCCCCTATCGTTATGCTTGCTCATCAATGTGAAGTATTAGTGAGCTCTTGTGTATGTTCTCCGGTATTTGGAAAATTGCAGTGCTTTACTGAATTTTCATCTTGTTTGGTCTCTTACTTTTGCGCTGCAATTCAGGCACGAGGCAAAATTCATCCAAAAAATCATCAAGGAGATACTCAAAAGATTGAATCGCACAGTACTTAGTGTACCTTCATACACAGTTGGGTTAGAGTCTCGAGTGAAGGACATTAACTCATGGTTACAGGATGAATCCAGTGAAGTTGGCATTGGGGTGATCTGTGGACTTGGTGGTGTAGGAAAGACTACTGTTGCTAAAGTAGCTTACAACTCTAACTATGACAGATTTGATGGCAGTTGCTTTCTTGCAAATGTCAGAGATATCTCAGAGAAACATCCAAGTGGTCAGGTTTATTTGCAAAAACAAATTTTTGAAAGTATTTTGAAAGGCAGAAAGGAAAAGATATACAATGCTGATGAAGGAATTGTCAAAATGAAAGATGCTATTGGCAACAAAAAGGTTCTTATTGTATTTGATGATGTGGATCAGCTGGATGTCTTAGATTCACTTATTGGGACAAGGGATTGGTTTTATCCGGGGAGTAAAATTCTCATAACAACAAGGTGTGAGAAATTATTGAAGGCGCACGAGAGGCACATGTTATTCAAGATTAAGGAACTTGGGGATGATGAGTCCCTAAAGCTCTTCTGTTGGTATGCCTTTGCACAAGACCACCCTCTAGAAGAGTTCAAGGTGCTTTCAACAGAGGCAATACAGCATTGCGGTGGGCTTCCGTTAGCCCTTCATGATTTGGGCTCTTTTCTTTCAGGGAGAGGTATGGAAATATGGAGAAGTAAATTACAGAAATTGGAAGCAATCCCTCATAGCAAAGTTCAAAAGAATCTTGAGATAAGCTATAAGTCTCTAGATGATCATGACCAGAGGTTGTTCCTCCTTATTGCTGCTTTTTTTGTTGGGAAGGACAAAGATAATGTTATCAAGATTTTGGAGAACTGTGATTTTCACCCAACAGTTGGAATTCAGAACCTCATTGACAGATCCCTCATCAGCATTGATGACGAAAATAAGGTGATGATGCCTCAACTTATTCAGGACATGGGGAAAGAAATTATTCGTCGAGAATCACCGGATGATCCTGAGAGATTGTGTAAATTGTTGAACCAATGGGGTCTATCAAATTACCTGACAGAGAACAATGTAAGAATCTTCAATTTTCTATTTAGCTTGTCTTAGTAGATTCTGAAAGTGTTCTTGTTTCTCACAAACTTTTCCTGGAACAGGAAACTGATGCAAATGGAGGAGACCTCCCAAGTGCACATCCGTCGGAAGATGGTCTTGTTCCAGCACTTGGTCCTAATGTTGCAAAAAGACCATATTATCAAGATTTTCCAGAAATAGCTATTCTGCCATACCTAGGCAATTCGTTGAAAAGGCGCTTTGTAGGACTTCTTTCGATGTTTCCCATATCTGGTGGCCTCAAAAGATTCTTCCCATGATGACAGAAGTACTTGTAAAGATGCCTCCTCTCCCTTTGAAAAACCAACACTAATGCATCGCTTAATCATGTCGAGCTAGAAGATACACGAGTGATGTGAGAGTCAGGTTTCAATCAGAATCATTACCTGATAATATCTGAGCATTACATACTCTGTTAGTGGCACAATTTTTGTAAGCTATAGAGGTACATCCAGTACTGTTCTTTTTTATCAGCTTTGGGTGGGCTATGGTGTAAATGTATGTTTCATTAACTCATTGTACAGTCATAAGGTCGTTTTAGCCAGCTGCATAGTTTGCTTTAGCAAACAGTTCACTCTAAGGAACCAAAAATGTAACCTATAACCATTCATTTTTAGTTTCCAAATGTCTTGAGTTTTTCCTTTTTGATATATCTAATTTAACTGCAGGGTTCAAACAAGAAATATCATAGTTTTGACGCGCGTATATAGATGAGTTGCCTTTTTATTTACTCTCAAGGATAATTTTTCATATTTATAGGAAATAAGCTTCTGAATGATGGTGATTTGAGCTTCAAAACCATATCCAATTTTTACATGACTTAATTCATAGTGTTAATATAACGTGTTTGGTTATTTACTCTGCATCAAGCAATAGGAGGTATAAAAGCTCGATCTTTACCTTTTAGTGGGAAATAATGATAGGCTAAAACTTAATGTTTTAAGGAGGATTTCGACTTGTTATTTCAGACGTCTTGTAGCACCACAAAATGGGATTTCAAGAATTTCTCTTCACATGGAGTCGGAATAATAATATGCCAATGTTGACAAAGAAATACAATTATCAGAATCGGATTCACTAATAATTGTCCTTTTGACTGCTAAGTCTAAAAATCCAAAAATATTTACCAAAAACATCCGCTAGTTCAATAATTTGGGCGAAGAGGGGCGATACAACATCAATATCCGGTATGAGGAATCATCATGAATAGACAAGTTTTACGCTCGCTGCTAGTCTACCGCAATCCTCTTTCTTTATTCGGGCTTGGGACCGACAATGTGAGCAAGCCCACACTGGCAGAGTTAATTTAGCGAAGAGGAGTGATAATTTGTAAAAAGTTTTATTACAATAAAAATATAGGATAAACATTTTATTGCATTGTAAACTCTGTGTTGATACGAAGAATAGTGCAACACTTTGATATTCTTGCGTAATAATTAAAGACAATAATAACAAAATACGAATATGATGGTAGGTAATACCAACTAGTTGGATCATATATAACTTATGCCTGGTGTTCCTACAAGCCTTTTTAATCTTTAAATGTCAATATAAAGATAAGTATGGGATTAAGAAAATCTCAAATATTAGTGGACCCTTAATCTGCCTTAACAAACAAATATGTTTTGTGTTGGAACGAAATTAAATATAGTGAATACTCATTGAGGATTCGTATAACTGATTCCAACAGTTTCTAGATTGAAAGAATACGTTAAATAACTAATAATTGGAAGTGTGTTATGTTTTGAAAATGTTACAAGTTTTATGAATTTTATGATAGATAGAACTTTCTAAATGGCAGTTTCTTATCATGTTCCCAATGTGGACCGGGAACATATTTCTCCAAGTCTTAATCCTAAACAAATAAGATATATTTTGCCAATTTAAGTATTCTAGAATATGGTTCATATAATCTGAAATGTAAACTTAGTCTATTTTCATATTGTTTTAACCCTTTGTTTTTCATAAGGTTGACACTGAAAGATTGCACGTAGTAGTTAGGGACTCTCACTCTAGAACCTCTGTCCTATTATAGAGATGTGCTAAAGTAGCATTTTTCTTACCTTGGTTTTTCCAAATTTAAAAAAGGGCAGCCCGGTGCACTAAGCTCCCGCTTTGCACGGGGTTCGGGGAAGGGCCGGACCACAAGGGTCTATCGTACGCAGCCTTACCCTGCATTTCTACAAGAGGCTGTTTCCACGGCTCAAATCCATGACCTCCTGGTCACATGGCAGCAACTTTACCAGCAACTTTCCAAATCTATTTGCAATAAATAATAGATAAATTGTGTAGTAATAACTACATATCTGTATTGCCAATTTGTTGTCATTTACTAGGTTAGTTAATGATCTGTAGACCTTAGGTTATGTAAATTTTAGAATATATATATATATATATATATATATTCCTTGTTGATTTTGACATGTAAAAACAATGCATGTACCTTCTTAGACTGCCTGCATATCCAAAGTCACCTATTTATCTCTTCTATGCTTCTAAACAATTGCTTCTCAAAAAACAATCTTTTATCAGTGACTGATCAAAACAAAAAAAAATGAATCAGTTTGCTTATCATGCATTTCTGAGTTTGGCAACCAAAATAGGCATGTCCTTTGGAGATCATCTTCATTCAACTTTATCAAATGCTGGTATTCGCACGTTCAGGGTTGATGAACTTGAGATAGATGAAAAGGGATGCAAAGAACTGCAGAAAACAATTCAAGAATCAAGAATTCTCATTGTTGTCTTCACTAAAGAGTATACCTCTTCAGAGAGGTGCCTTGATGAACTTGTGTTTATACTTGAGAGTAAGAGAACTTTTGGACGTTTCGTTCTGCCTGTGTTTTATGATGTGGATCCCTCAGAAGTCAGGAAACAAAAAGGGAGTTTTGAACAAGATTTTTTAATGTATGAAGAGAGATTTAAATCCGGGAGCGAAGGAAGGAGACTGGAATGGTTGCAGAAGGTGAAGGAATGGAAGGCTGCTCTAACAGAAGTTGCTGATTTGGGAGGAATGGTCTTACAGAATCAATCTGATGGGTAAACTTTTACTAGCTTTATGTTTATGTAGGTAGTTCTATATTAGTGGATTTCAAATTGTTCCACTGCAGACTATGTGCTTTATTCCTGACTTTATATGGTATTGGATACAATCCAATTTTCAGGTGCGAGTCAAAGTTTATTGAAGAGATTGTGAAGGTGGTTGCAAGAAAACTAAATCTCGCAGTTTTAAGTGTTGCTCTCCATCCAGTTGGAATAGATTCTCGAGTTAGAGACATCAATCTCTGGTTGCAAGATGGATCGACTAGTGTTGATATTATGGCTATATATGGAATGGGAGGTATAGGTAAAACTACACTAGCTAAGACTGCTTACAATCTGAACTTTGAAAAATTTGATGGCAGCAGCTTTCTTGCTGATGTAAATAAAACTTCAGAAAGACATGATGGTCTTGTAAGTCTACAAAGACAACTTCTTTCAAATGTTCTAGGGAAGAAGGTTGAAAAGATATACAACGCCGATGAAGGAGTCAGCAAGATTCAAGAAGCCATCTGTTGCAGAAGAATTCTTCTTGTTCTCGATGATGTGGACAATAGAGATCAGTTAAATGCTGTACTTGGGATGAGAGGATGGTTTTATCCGGGTAGTAAAATTATCATAACAACCAGAAACCAGCACCTATTTGATACTAGTGAAGTCTGCAGAAGTAAGATGTATAAGGTCACGCCATTGAATGCTAAAGAATCAATTCGACTCTTCAGTTGGCATGCTTTTGGAAAAGAACAACCTTCAGAAGATCACAAGGACCTTTCAGAAAATGTGATACTTCATTGTAAAGGGATTCCTTTGGCTCTCAAAGTTTTAGGTTCTTCTCTTTGTGACAGAAGTATAGAGGTGTGGGAAAGTGTATTGAGGAAATTAAAGGCAATCCCTGACAATAAGATCCTGGAAAAACTCAGAGTTAGCTATGATTTGCTGCCAGATGATGATGTACAGAATCTATTCCTCGATATTGTCTGTTTCTTTGTTGGAAAGGATAAAGACTATGCAGTTACTATACTTGATGGATGCGGCTTTTTCTCAGTAGTAGGACTTGAGATTCTTTCAGATAGATGTCTGATTGAAATGGACAATGATAAGCTGAAAGTGCATTCATTGATTCAAGATATGGGAAAAGAAATTATTCGTCTAGAATCCCCTTGGGAGCCTTGGAAGAGAAGCAGAGTTTGGCGATGCAGAGATTCCTTCAATATCTTGAATGAAAAAACTGTAAGACTCTTTTAATCTTTGATGTTGTGTATGCATTATAATAGGCAATAATGAATAAACAATAGTTGTTTTTCTATCAGGGAACTGAAAAAATTGAATGCTTAGTTCTTGACAAGGAAATGTCCACAAAATTGTCCAAAGTAATCAAATCTGTCAGATCATATTTCTTCAATGAAGATATTGGTCTGGTTGGTCATGGCCATTCAAAGAAACGCCGTAAGCATTTTGGTGATGCTGATACAGAGGGTTCAAACAATATAGAATTTGAAGCTGATGCATTTTCAAGAATGCAGAGGCTGAGGATTCTCCAGCTTAGTTATGTAAGATTCACTGAATTCTATAGTTTGTTTCCGAAAAGTCTGAGATTACTGTGTTGGTCTGGATTTCATATGAAAACCATTCCTGAAGATCTCCCTCTAGAGAGTCTGGTTGCCCTTGAAATGAAAAAAAGTTGTTTGGAAGAAACCTGGGATGGAACTAAGGTATGTTATAGATGTGTTTCCTTTTCATCTACTGCAGGAAAATGTCTTTTGAATTAGACTTAACTTTTACCTCCTACTTCCATGTTGCAGATTCTCAGATCATTGAAGATCCTCAACTTTAGTCATTCCCATTTCCTAAAAAGAACTCCTGATTTTTGTGGACTTCCCAATCTAAAAACTTTGATATTGAAAGACTGCATTAAGTTGGTCAAGATTCATGAATCAATTGGAGTCCTCGACCGACTGGTCTATCTGAACTTAAGAGACTGCAACAATCTAAGGAAGCTACCTGGAAGCTTTTGTAAGCTCAAATCCTTAGAAAAACTTATTATCTCTGGATGTTCTAGACTAGTTACATCAGCAATAGAGCTAGGCAAGCTAGAATCTTTGAAAACTCTACAGGCTAATGGCATGAATTTTGGTCAGCTAGCGCCAGTTGGTGGTAATGAGAAATCATGGAGGTCCCTCTGGCAAACTTGGTCATCAAAGCTAAGAAGATCCCCAGACTCTAACCAGTTTTCCTTCTCTTCTTTATCAAGTTCGCTCGTCAGCTTAAGTCTTGCTAAATGCAACTTAACAGACGATGCTCTATCGTTTGGCCTCTGTAACCTTCCCTCACTATGCTTCTTGAATTTAAGTGAAAATCTGATTTATAACCTGCCTCAGAGTATAAAGAATCTTTGTTTGCTCCAAGACCTTTGGTTAGATGGATGTCCGAGCCTCCAATCTCTGCCAGACCTTCCGCCGAGCCTTGTTACGCTGAAGGCAGTTAGATGTTCGTCACTGGAAACAGTTACAAATCTACCCAACCTAATGTCAATTCTCTTTTTAGATGTCTTGGAAAGTGAGAATTTAAGTGAGATTTCAGGACTTTTCAAGCTAAAGCCCATTGATCATTTTGAAGTGGAAATATTGAATGCTCTAAGACTTCTCAAGCTGGATAACAGACAAGATACAGTGGTGGAAATGTTTAGTAGGTTCACTAGCACAAAAAGGACATATTCAGTACAGCAGGTAAGTTTGTTTCTCACTGTAAACTTTCTCCTCAACCTGAGAGCTGATTCAATGGAAAGTATTTTTTCTTTCTTTTTTGGAATCAGGGACTCTATGAATTTGGCATCTTCAGTATTTATTTTCCAGGAAATGAGGTTCCAAGCTGGTTCAGCAACAAGAGTGAACAGAGGTTGTTGACCCTGAATGTCGATTCACTTCCTAATATCAAGATAACAGGACTGCACATTTGCGTTGTCTATGCACGTTCTAGTCCTCGTAAATTTCGCTATTTTAGGGACGGGCATACATTTTACATCAAGGTCCAAAACATTACAAAGGGTCTTAAGTGGATTTATGCCCCATCGTTCATTGGCATTCCAGGAGAGAACAACAGGTTGACATTTTTATGCCACTGGGAGTTTGGGAAATATTTACAAACTGGTGATCAGATTAATGTTTCATTGCCTTGTTGGAGTAAAACTTTTAAGATGAAAGAGCTCGGAGCTACACTTGCATATGATAAGCAAGAATTGGACCAGTTCTCAGCATCTACTAGTGAAGCAAGAGAGCTTGCAATACGACATAATCCAATTAGTGATTATCAATCCGAAGAATGCGTCATGGAAGTATTTATGCCTTCATATCAGATGGCGGCTCATCATTACTACCTTTCTCACCCTGATTACTTTGTGCTCCGCGACAATTCAGATTTAGCTGTGAGGTCAATTTTGAATGAGAAATTGTTTGAGGATTCTTATGCGGAGACTGCATGTTCAGGTCTGTGCTTCAAATCTTGTATGTCAAAAACTATACTCATTTATGTACTATTGGATGATCATGTTCAATGTATGGAGCAGGAGCAGAAGAAGAAGCTGACGATGATAGCATCTTTGATTACGATGAGGATGAAGATGAAGAGGCTGCAATAGCAGAGTTAGAGGAGTTGCTGCAAAGATCTTGGTGAAAGAAATGAATCAATATGCTGAAGCAGTGTAACACATTGGCTGACCAACTCAAAAATAATGAATTTGTTATACTTGAGGTGAAAGATTATAATTCATTAGTTGTGTATCAGGTAGTGACAATTCATTACTATTTTTCTCACCCAGAAATATAATTTTTCTGCTTAAAGGACGAAAGGGAAGAGGAGCTGCAAACAGAGGTGGATCTAGGATTTAAATATTAGGGTACTTACTATTGAACCTATCATATTCTTAAAGTTATCGGTTCAGACCCACTATGTATTGCAATTTTAATGAATTTTTACACTAAATTTATACTCCGCGTCAAAAGTACTGGTTCAGATGAACCGTTACTATAACACTACATACGCCTATGGATGCAAGGTCGACGTTAATGTGGAGACTACTGGTTCAAGTTAGCATAACAAGTTAGTAATAATAAGTTTAAGGTGTCATAACCTTAACCACAATAATTAACATTTGTTTGTTCATAATCACAATGGAAAAGGAAAAAAAAACAAAAATTAAGTTTGGAATGAAAACAAGAATGTTAGAAAACCTTGAGAACTAAACTATTGAGGAAAGAATATAGTTGACCCAAACAGCATCAGGCATGTAACAGACGGACTGTATTGTTTTTACATTCCCGGTGTTAATATCAATGCTGCAGAGATCATATTTGTTCAAACCCTGTGAATGAGAAAAGAACAATGCAGATTTATCAACAAGTAAACAAATAACTTCTCTTAACGATGTCATGAGCTTGAATATTCGTCTACTCCATTTTATCTGTGCTGTTTTTTTCTGTAATCGTCTAACACCAAAACATGGAGCTCGTCATTAACCACTTCAGCGAATGAGAGCTGGCCATTCCAATCTAAGAGTTGAATCCTGTTCAACCCATCTGAGATGAAAGTTCCAACAGAAAGAGTAGTATGACCAATGTAGCTCTCATTCACCATATCCAAAATATCAACGTGTATATCAAGATTGTTTTCAGCGGCCCAAATACAATAAGCAACTCCCCTTCTAAAGAAAAGAACAACTCCTTCTCGCGCTGCAGATTTGGGAAAAGAATCCAAATTAGTTCTCTTTCTCTCCCCGTATTTGAACAACTCAGGTACCTGAAGTTCTTGCCAAGAATAAATAGTAGTCGTAGCAATATTATCAATAGGTCCAATATGAACAACTTCATAGCCAAGAACTTGATTTTCATCTTCATGAACAGAAACCAACTCAACAGCTCGGGTAGATGGAATGAACTCGATGGCAGAGCACAAACTAGGATTTTGTGGACCGGGAAATTCAAGATACTGGAGTAATGGAGGGAAACTTACGCGACATCTAGAAGGAGAAACAGACGATAAAGATTGTAACAGCCATAAGCCATCACTGCTCTCAGCACACTTAAGAAAGTCGCCCTCAGCAATCCGCATGATGTGAGTGTGTATGTCTGTCGGTTTTCTCCTCTTCTGAAATCAGACGCAAAGGCAAATTTCGCCAGTAAAGGAACCTGAATTGAGTGTCTAGAAATAAGGTGTTCCAAAGCTTGCATATACATTTGAATCTCACCAAAGACTTCAGTGGCAAGAAGCTCAATATGTGAAACACTAATTCATTGGGAAGATATGGCGAGTTGCTTGCCGTTGGCCGATCGATCGGATTGCTAATGGCTTGAGAAATTAGATACTCCCGAAATAGCAAGAGGGTGATATATACGTACTATGGATTTGGTGTTAACAAGGATACCAAATCAAAACAGCGATAGGTAAGAATGTTCTACAAATCCCACACCAATAAGGTTACTGTTTAGAGATTATTTGCGTTGCTTTTTTTTAGTCAAATAAAAAAGATTCTTTTACAAAATTGGCCCGAAAATGGCGATTCAAAAATTAATGAATTCAAACAGAAAAAAATAAATATATATAAATTTTTTTTAAAAAAAAATTGCCACAAGGACAAAACAGACCACGTGGCTGCACGCAGATAAGATTGGTCAAAGGATCGAGACTATCAACTAGTCAAGTATAGGAGGTCACTAATGTTAGGGTTTTGCGGATATCTGCTTCCCACAACAATAATAACAACTAGCCTGACTAAGTGAATTCTCAAGCTCATGTGCTCCCTACTTTGTCATAAGTAGTTTTAGGAAGTCAACGCTTTGGTCAGGACCCTCAGCCTGAACGATGACCCCTTCTCAGAATAAAGAATACTCCAAAAAATCTTTTCTTTCTAAAACTTCTTCTTGTGACTTTTCAAGTCTAAATCTTTCAAATATACTTATTCTGGAATCCTTAAATGCAAGGTATAGCATAAGAATTAAATAAACATTCAAAATTATTTCTAAAGATTCTTGATTCTTCATGAATTTTTCTCATGAAAATGGCATATAAGAATAACACAAAAATCTGAAAATTTATGCACATATATTAAAATAATCATCTAAACTTTAGCTAGGAAATAATCCTAAGCTAATAGGTACTTACTCCAATTAAATATATATTAGCTCTTTTATGCAATTCATCAAACACCTTGTATGCGTGTTTTTGTGAGTTAAACCACTTTAATAAAGGGGTATATCAACTCACCTCAATACTCCTTGAGCCAATACGTAGACCCCAGTTCAATTTATACCCGTCAAATAATTGATTCTACAACAACCAGTGCATTTTAATTAATTTCAAAGTTTCACACCTAAACATGGGATTTACTGTTGATACAGAGAAAGAAGGGAATTAACTATTCAATTCTTACCTATTATTACTGTAGGGTAATTGAGAATTGGGAATTTTATATACCTGAGTTCAAGAATAAGTGAGTTATGAAGAACCCTAGAATTTTTCGAGCAATTTCTGGCTGCCTCTGTTCCTATCCGTGCGTCTGTGTTTCTGTGTTCCCCGCCTCTTTTCTTTTTTTTCTTTTTTTGTTAATAGGCTTCTGCCGTTTTGCCTTTCTGAATGAGAAGTACGTCATTCTCATTCCAAGGCTTTAATCCTTTTGTTTTGTTTTATTTTATTATTTTATTTGTTTTCCCCCTCTTTTTTTTGACTTAACTAGCAATTAATGATACCCACTTTTAATAATTAATAATATTAAAATTATTAATATTTCTCTAATTGTATATTCAATTATTTAAGTGTGTGTGTGTATATATATATTTTCACTATAGGCAAGAAAATAATAATAATAATAATAATTTAATTCTATAATTAGCGTGTCTCGAAACTTTTATAAATTTGAGGAGTGTTACAATTTCCCTCCTTAAAAACATTCGTCCTCGAATGTTGCTAGGGCCTTATTCTTAAGCTAACAATCATTCCTTAGGTCCTTGAACCTCTTAAATTTTTTTAGCACTACTCACTCTTCCAAGGGACTCAAAATTTTGGCTAACTCCCTAAATTTCCAAAAATTTCGGCAGAGTTTTCCTTGTAAATTGGACTATCAAAAAAAATATCCCTGTCACAATTACCACAACTACACCAACAACAACCAAATATACCATAACGTGCCATTCATAGGGACCATACACAGCTCATAAATTAATTACTCACACTCCGGCAAGGAGGTACCACAATAACCAAAAAGAATCTAAAGCACAACACTTTAGCAAAAGTAAATCACTTTAATGAGTTAACTGTACTTCGTCATGGCACTAAATTGTTAAATAACTAAATGTACTCTGACAAACACTAAATTACTTCAACAACTAAGTATAATCTAGCAAGGATGTAAACACATGCTAACTTGTATTTAATAAATAAAATATAAATGTCAAACCAAACCTAGGTTCACATACCTTTTTCCTCAAATAAATATGGATACTTCCCTCTCATATCTTCGTCGACCTCCCACGCAACCTCTTTTGAATCATGATTACTGCACAAAACTTTTATCGATGCTATATCTTTTGTTCTCAACTTTCTTACTTGCCTATAGAGAATTTTTATAGGTAGTTGTTCATAAGTCAAGACTTCTTTAATTTCTATGATATCGGCAGGTATTATATGCGACTCATCATGAATGTACTTTCTAAGCATAGACACATGAAAGACAGGATGAACAGAGGACAACTCAACGGGCAACGCTAGCTCATAAGCCACATTTCCCTTCTTTTCTATAATCTCATAAGGTCCAATAAATTTAGGACTAAGTTTCCCTTTCTTACCAGACCTCATAACTCCTTTCATTGGTGAAACTTTCAAAAACACCTTGTCACCAACCATGAACTCTAAGTCACGATGCCTCTTGTCAGAATAGGATTTTTGACGACTGTGAGTCGGTTTCAGTCTTTCTCTGATTAGCTGGACTTTCTCTAAGGCCTCACAAACAAACTCTGGACCAATCAACGGCACCTCTACTGGTTCAAACCAACCCACTGGAGACCTACATCTTCGCCCATACAACGCTTCATAAGGAGCCATACCAATGCTGGCCTGATAGCTGTTATTATAAGCAAATTCTATAAGTGGTAAGTGATCATCCCAATTACCTCCAAAATCTATAACACATGCTCGCAATATATCTTCGAGAGTCTAAATGGTCCTTTCTGCCTGACCATCGGTCTGTGGATAGAAAGCGGTGCTCAAATTGACCTTGGTACCTAATCTTTTCTGAAATGCCTGCCAAAAATGCGCCGTGAACTGAGAGCCTCTGTCACATATGATTGAAATTAGAGTACCATGCAATCGGACTATTTCTTTGATGTACAACTGCGCATATTGCTCTGCGGAATCTGTCGTCTTTACTGGTAGGAAATGCGTGGACTTTGTCAGCCTGTCTACAATAACCCAAATTGAATCATGCTTACGATATTTGCGAGGTAGACCTACTACGAAATCCATATTAATCATCTCCCATTTCCACTATGGTATCTCTATATCTTGAGCTAGGCCACCAGGCCTCTGATGCTCGGCTTTGACTTGCTGGCAATTCAAACATATAGCCACATGATCTGCTACTTGCTTCTTCATGCCTTTCCACCAATACAACTCTTTCAAGTCAAGATACATTTTGGTAGCACCTGGGTGGATAGAGTACCTCTAACTGTGAGCTTCTTCCATTATGGCCTTTCTAAGACCATCTACATCAGGCACACACAACCGATCATTCAACTTCAAAACTCCGTCACTTCCTAGAGTGAAAGCAGTGATTTTTTTGTTTCTAACTCCTTCTTTTAGCCTCACTAAGTACGGATCTTCATCTTGCTTAGCCTTAACTTGCGCAACTAGAGAGGATTGCTCTAAGGCATAAGCAGTCATACCTCCTTCTTCGGTCTCATCCAGTCTAATTCTATCATTTGCCAATTTTTGAATTTC